ACTTGCACTTATAAAAACATTGAAAATCTGTGACACCCTATGAGTGCCTTATCCAGTCTTTAGTGGCACTGGTGGCTTGTGGTTTTTCACTATGTTATCTTATAAATTATCATGCTAGTAAAAATATTTTGCAAAATTCTCAGAGTAATTTTTCTAGGTAGTCTCTGCCTATGTGAATATATTTAATCTCAGCATCAGAAAACAGTCTGAAATTAAATACTGTAGATTTTTAACCACCCCCTGTAGCTGGAATAGCACCCCACTGAGACTATAGGGTTTGGTATCTGCCAGAACAGCTGCAGTTCTGGAAAATTCATAAAGCAGCAGAATACGGGATCAGGTAATACCTTCAGATCCTCCTGCACTGTTGTGCTTTATCCCAGCCTCTTACAGATTTAAGCAGTTTTAAAGGGCAGAGGATTTAAGAACATGCTAGATATCTGTCTTGCTTCCACCAGCTATCAAAACAAAAATCTGGTTTGTGTATTTTATAGCTTGTCAGAAAAAATCCATGGGTTGGTGGGTCTGTCTTTTTTTCAGATCTCTCCACTCTGTATTGATCTTATCACTTGTGAAACACTCTTGTTTAGGATGGGGTTTTAATATTTTCAGTGTAAATTTTCATCTATCAGGCTCCACTGCCTAAAAACTGCTCTAAATCTATTTTGTTCATCTTTCACATGACAAAAAAAGCCCCTAGAAATATTTGAAATAAGCTCTATAGGTTCTGGTATGTACATATGATGCACATACATTGAGCTATCACTACCTTCACTGCAGTAGAAGGAAGAGAGGACAAGAGACCACCTGACTGTTATTAAGCATTTAACTTGCATGTGACTGTTCCTAAAAAGCAGTATCCACGCAGACTGCCATGGATGTATACGTGGCCTGCATTGTCCGGAGAGCTCAACAGCAGGAGTGATGATACGGTGCTTAGAGGAGGTGGGTGTCCTCTGTGGGACAACTCAAGGGCTGCGTGCTCCTGAGCGGGAAGAAGCCAACAACAAAAAAAAGAAGCTGGGAGCCTGCAACAAAAAAAGTGCATGACCAAGGGCAGCAGAAGGGCCTCGGGAGTCTGAATTAAGCACCCTCTTGTGCAGGCAAGCTCAAGAAGGAGAAGACTACTTCTTTTCCACTGAAGATCATCAACAGCAGATTTTCCTGAGCTGGACAGAGTGGTCATGGGCCTTTTTGCTTTTAACTACCTTATAACAAGCTATAAGCTACTCTGAAGAGACCTAACATCCATCTCTCTTGTAAAAAGTGGTATTTCTGAAAGGGAAATCCAGAGCCATGGTTCCTGTTGTAAGTGCTCTTTATACACCTTATTCATAGCTTTTAATTTAAAAAAAATAAAATAAAATAAAATAAAATCACTAAAAATCATGAGAACGAGATCCAGAAAAAAAGGTTTCCATTTTTCAGCTAAGTTCCCATCCCACTCTGCTGAAGAGTTAGATCATGCCTACGTGCAGGTTCCTGGCCCTTACCATGTATACTGGCCAAAGCAGGCTGTTATGCTTAGACAGCACAGCTAATTGTTTTTCAAAATGGAACCACACTGATTTTTAGATTTCCTTCAGAGCTTAGGTGGTGTGTAAGTAATCTGAATCATTCTCCGAGATTTGTGAGCAGCAGCCTTCTAAGTCAAGCCTCAGGCAGAATTGGGGTATCTGAATTACTGCTTTACCCCAGACCAGGAGTGCACTTCTAAAGCGACTCTCCCGCTCACCCCCACTTACTGCATTTTGACTAAGCATTGCAGAGCAGCAGTCCTGGAGTGCACGAACCAGGTTCCTTCCCCGTGTCGCAAACCTGGATCACGGGCTCCAGGAGAACAGGTAAGGCTCTGCAACTGCTTGTGGGCATTCAGGCCTTGAAGACCTAGTGTAAATCAGAGTTCAAAGAAATAACACCATTTTACATCATGGCACAATGGTTTTTATGAAAGGTAGAGTGTGAATCAAATGTTCTCTGAGATATAACAAGGCTTCAAAAATAAATTAGTCGCTAGAGGGAGCCTCTTTATCGTCATATACTAGTATCAAACTGCTACTATAGTGGGCCTTCGACTCTTCGATGTTGAAGTACTTCAGTAAGGTCAGTAAGTATTACTGCCTCCACTACTTAGTTTAAAGAAAAGGAGAGTAAAAGACAAGAGTATGCAAGGCTTCTGCAAAATTCTACATTCTGAACAAATACAGACTTTCTAAAGATTTCCCCACAGAAAACAGATAGAGCTAGTTAGTGCAGCAGCTGGGAACAGAATTAGCTTTGCCTGGACCTTTTGAAAATGCCAACTTTACACGGCATCAGTGAGAGTCCATTCACCTTTCTCTCCTTCACAAAACGAACACAAGTTGTCGCTGTGAGAGGAGTGTCTTTAGACCACAAGCACTACCCTCTCTCCTTTATCTTCATTACACCATCGCTGTGCCCAGGCGGTAATTCCCAGCAGCCAGATTTCAATGATCAGTACTTACAGCAGTGATCTGGTCTACCTCTCTCTCTGTTAGAAGGCGGCTACGGACAAAACAACAAAGACGTGTTCCTGCAGTGTAGCTGTAGACGTGCATTCAATTTTCTGCTACACTCTAAATTTAGTAAATAACATAGCAGTTATAGTTTGTGGTTCTCTGTTACAAATACTATAGAATTTGCAAGAAGTCCTGGAAAAACACAAGGAGACTAGGAGAGCTGTGGAGGAGACCCCAGCTGCCAGCAGGGCTCTCGCAGTCAGCAGGGTCCAGCTAGACATTGCATCCTGGACAGAAGAAACCCGCAGCTCAGAAGGTGCTTTCTTTTCAGAAAATACACAGCAGCAGAGGGCATCAGACAACAAGAAATCGTACACACGTTAATGAATCCTGAAGCGCTAAAGGTACAGTAAAAGGGAATGGGCAATGGAAAGGTATAGATTGAGATGCTATAACATGGGTGGGGATAAGGAAGCAGGCACTGAGAGAAGGAAAACCAGACACATCACCTCTCCTATGCGTGTGCTGGCTGTAACCACTCCAGCATGGAAATGTTGGGGTGGGAGAGAGCAGGGGAGGGATCACCTGCGGTGCCGTAACTTGCCTCAGAGGTGCTCCGCTAGCAAACCAACCTGAGCACTGCAACTGGTGATGAACCACCAACTCATAACAACAACTCCCTTCTCTTTTAAGATAGGAAAACACGGTAAATTCTCTGTTAGCAAAGCAAGACTGCTGTTTGACAGTATGTCATGCTCTCCCAAAACAGTCAGTACAACAGGATTCAAACGAGAAAAAACACGAAAGAAAGCATCAGCCAGCAGATAACCTTAATTTGTCCCTTTGAGTGATGACTAGGAAAGAGGCAGCACTCTGAAGTGAAGCCAAATGACTCATTTTCTGCAAAAGCAAACTTAGGTCTCTTGCCGGCATTTCCTCCCCACACCCTAAATCTCTTTCTCACTGCATGTACACAGATGACCTTGTCATTGCTGCAGGAACTCGGGGCTGCCGTAAAGTGAAGATATTCATTTAGTTTTTATTTCTACAGACAAAGAATTGCTGCTTTGTAAGTACAGCAATTTTCTATTTTCCTTGCTGGAAATGAGGAGAGGTTTACAAGGAACTGTTATTTATAGTGCCTTTCATTGGCGTGTCTCAGACTTGAAGGAGGTCCTGCGCTTCCCTTGAGAAACCGCTGGTTGGGCAGAAAGCGTTTTAGCTACATTCCTGGTGTTCCCCAGCCCGACCCTCACACGTGTGTGAACGTCACTGTTGTGCAAACGGCAGTGGGACGTGCAGCTGAAGGGGATCCGGGGTAAGTTAGACCATCCAGCTGCTTGCAAGCTCTGGTATAACACCGCTTTCCTGTGGCGAAACGCGCATGAGCAGCTCAGGCAGATTTAAAGACTGCCTTCAGAAACAAACGTTAGACGCTGTGCTGTAGCAGCAGTCTTTGTGCTGAAAAATTTGGAATGGTTTTAAGTCAACTGAAAATAAGCTCACACTCCAGTCTATCAGCTGCCTGCTTTGAGCATAACTTGACCAGGTACCGTATTCCTCCCTTACCATGTTGGGAAATGCACATGAAAATTTTAATGGGCATTTGGAAATTTTGTTTTGTTTTGCTTCTGTAGATAAAAATATCTTGAGGAAGTTTTTAAAAGGCATTTCCATTTATAACAACATTATTCTCATATAAGTCTGTGTATAAAGTGAGAGCTGCAGGCAACTTGTTATCATGAGGTTGGCTTTTATTTTATCTACAACAAATCTACAAAATAGGAGTTTTTCAAAGACATTTTCACAGACTGAACAGTACTAAATTTAATGGAATTACCTGTAAGACCTTTCACTGAGTGTTGCCAAACTGATGCCACAAACGGGTACTGTTCTGTGAAAAGTGTATTTGAGTGCATCTGAAAGTATGAACATTTATGCAAACTGGCTTGAATTGGAATTTCAGTATCTTGTAAATATTTTGATAGAAAAGTAAAGACAGATTAAAGCAGTTCAATCAGTAAAGGAAAGCAGTTAGTAAAATATGAAAGATATGCAAGCTATACCCCCCCGGATTATTACAATGGATGAAGAAAGGGATAAAATCTAAATTACTCTAGGGGGATTAAATAATGGGAGAGGGAGGAAAGAGTTCTACTTTAAGCCAAATTCAGTTCCGATCGCAAAGGGGACTGTTTGCTTGCAGCACGGCTTAAGTGCTACTTTGGCAAAAGTGGTCGCAAAAAGGTCCCCAAAAAGGCATCCTCCGAACTCCTTGTGGCCGAATCGGGCGGGCGCTTGCCTTGCTTGCAGCAAGGAGCTGCACTGCCGTGCGGGGACACGGGGTCCCCCCGACTTCTCAGAAAGGGGAGGAACAGGCCGAGCTGCTTGCACTGACCCTCTTGCTCCCACCAGAGCTGCTGAAGTTCCTCTGACTGGATGGGGCTATGGCTTCACAGGGATCATACCAGTCAGTGCAGTAACTGTTTTCTATACATTACCTGCTATTTTTCAGGCAGCTGCTGAGGAAGCTCAGCCTTCAGCTCCAGGCTGTGCTTTGAATCAGGGTGTATCTCCACTGTGAAGTACAGACAGATAGTGACAACCAATTACACAATTAAATTTGAATATTTCCAACTCCCTGTTATTTCAACTGGTTTGGAGGCACACAATATGGACATGCAAGAGATGGCTGAGGTCTCGTCCAGTATCTTTCCTATACCTACTTAGGATGCAGCAAAGGCACATATCCAAATGCAGGAAACTGAGTCTCTGTAGATAGCGATGCTGCATCAGAATTGGTGCTTGCAAATAAGTGTTTAGAGCTGTTTGGATGCCAATTTTCTAAGCATAGAAATTTAAATTTTCCCATTAAGGCTTGTAGAGTTGATGAATAAAATGTAAGAACTGTGGATATTAACTAAGCTGCTAAATACTATCATTTCTGGAAAACAAAATGTGAAACCAACATAATTTATAAAATTGAGATGCTTGGGATAGCTCAACCAGACATGGGATAAATTTGAAAGGAGTCTATTTTAAAGCCTTTGAACCAAGGTCATTCAGCCCTTACTTCAAAGCCTTTGAACAGTTTGTCTTGTCCTGGCAGTGAAAGAGAAAGCCCCAGAGGAACCTTTGCAGAAAGCTGTGCAGAGAGAGGGGAAAAGAGCATCGCACCCCAAAATCTGACACGTACAAAGAAGGAAAAGTCTCGGCTCAGAGTCAAACCACAAGAGGTCACAAATTCAGCATCTTCTAAGAAAATGTCATTGTTGGAAGAGGATGACTAGAATATCTACCTCTTACATGGCTGAAAGGAAACTTGGCACATTATGTGAAAAAGCAGCAGGCTGCTACTGACTCTGTGATTACAGAAAAATAATTTCTATTGAGGACTGGATTTTAAAAAGCTCTTCTCTTCCTTTCCGGATAGTAAATATTTTTCATACAGCTGAGTCATGTAACAAAAGAGAATTATGTTGCTATTTTAAGATAAACTTCTCTATACAAAAAGAAAAAATCCTCTAAGAAGTGAAAAAATGCTAGTAATAACAACAACATTAATGCCTTTACTCTTCCTCATGTAGGATCTGATCTGAGGTGCACCGAAGTAAATAAAACAGAAAATGTTGATAGGCTTTGATTAAATTTTTTATCCTTTTTTTTTTTTTTTTTTTTATTTTTTTTTCAGTGACTGGGAAGATGCACACATGACAAGGCTCTCTCTCTTGGTTTTGCAGGATCTGAACACTCCAAATGCAGAAATGATTTGGCAACTAACATCCTATTGGTAAGAAAAAAGTTCATGAATTATTGTTATATCATACTTAGATCTAAAGTGAGTGAAGTTTAACAATGACATAATACTGTATTATAATAGAGTAGGGTTGTTTATCTATAAAGTATAATCACAAAGTGATTTTTGTTTGTTTGTTTGTTTTTCTTGTTCTTAACTTTTTCACGAGAGTCCCAGTCTGGGTGGGAAGGATGTCAGAGGCAGTTGATCTCATACTGAGTTTCCCAGAACAACTTCTAAAAAACATCCCAAGCCACTAAAGCAAAATCACTCATATGTCATCTGTCACACGTAAATTTCCCAGTGAGACTGCTCATAGGAAATTTGGAAACAATCAGAAAAGGAGATTTTAAAGTTATGGTCCTGACATTTTGCTTTTCATGACATCTCTTTCGGTCAGTGATCAAAGTCTAACACACCCTCTAAGTCTGGGCAGAGAGTGGTCTGGTCTGCAGCCAAGCTCACGCGAGAGGGTCTTCAGCCCCGTGCAGTGATGAATGGCCAGGTCATTGGCTTCTTTCCTTCTTCTGTGTTTCAGGACATCCCTCGTCACACCCCTGATTTTTGGTCTGCTTCTGCAGCCACCACTTACACAGCCTTCCATCATCACACAGCCAAACATCGTCCTATTGATGGCTGATGATCTCGGCATAGGGGATGTAGGTTGCTATGGGAATGATACTATCAGGTAAGGAAACTGAGCATAACAGTATATGGAGCTGGGGTGTTATTTAATGTAAGACTGCAGTGCTCTGCTCATCAGCTATTTGAGCTGTCTTCAAGTGCATTTTGTGGAGAAATGGGAGGATTTCCCATGGGTGTCATTAACGGTAAATGTAAAGCACTACCAGGATTATCTCACAGCCTCGGGAGCATTCCCAGGGCCAGCTTTGCTACCCAGAGCTACTTTACTGGGGGAATATGTCACCTGTTCTTGTCTATTCCTTAATTGCCTGACATTAAGAAACAGCTAAATTCTTGCACATACCCAAAGACAGAAATGTTGTCCCCTCTTTTAATGTATCAGGTCTCATTACCTCATTTAACTCTATTGTGCCATTTTTTCCCAGTCTCACATCAAAATACAGTATAAATCACTGCAACGAGCTATGTTACTAGGAAATACTTCTCTTTTCAGACCCAAGGACATAGAATTTGCCTTCTCTTTGAAAATTATGCCACGGTATTGCTTGCTGGCTTCCTACCAGCTTGTTACTTCTTTGAACAAACCCAAATTTGGTACCATCACTCCCCTCATCCAGCAAAGTTCTCAGAATCTCACCCTGATTGGCAGCAGCCAGCCAGTTTCTCACAGGTGGCTGATGATCACAGGTAGCTGATGGGGCTCTGTGTGGACAGGCCTCCACTTCAGCGTAACATCATCCCTAAGGCATGTGTTTTCAAGAGCAGTGGAGTACATTTCTGCAAGGCCCTTCATAGGACTTGGGAAACAAGAAGGAATGATTGGCTTGAAATTTACCCACATAGCGAACGTTAACGAAGAAAGAAAAAAAAAAAAAAGTATTTCCCCATCACTTGAGAAAATTAAAATAAAATAAAAAATTAAAATATTTTCTGGCCATCTCCAAATAGAAGAAACTTCCCAAAATAAAGATAAGTATATTATTCCTTATCCCCATTCCCTTGAAGACTCTCTGAATGATATCTGACAGTATTGGTTGCATTTTTAGGACCCCGAACATTGATCTCCTGGCAAAGGAAGGAGTGAAACTGACCCAACACATCGCTGCGGCTCCACTTTGCACCCCCAGCAGAGCAGCTTTCTTCACTGGCAGATACCCGCTCCGATCAGGTTTGCCTTGCAAAACCAAGCAGCCTTTAAACATCGCTTTATTGCCGAAGGGAACACCGTCATACAATGGGCACCAAAGAAAAGAGAGTGTGCAAATAAAAGGGATGCCACAGACATGTCATCCCTCACTGAGGCACAAAAAGACACGCCTGCTAGGCCTAGTACCTTTGAGGTGGCATCTGCATTTATGGGGTACAATGAACCGACCGGGGGGAAGCAGAGCAGAAAAGAACCAGCTCTGCAGAGCAGCTTGCTTCCCCGCGGCTCGCAACTTTGGTTGCCTTTTGGTGCTCTGTTGCGTAAATTGCAGCCAGAATGAAGTTAGTAAAAATTGTTACATTCAGTAAAGTCATTACACAGAACAAGAATAATAATAACAACACATTTCTAAAGCACTAGTTACACTCCTTTCTGTCATGAGTGACTCCTCATCAGATATCAGAAACAGCTCAGCCCTGCAGGGAGCAGAGTAGATCTGTGCGGATGTGTGACCATTCCCTCCAGTCAAGGTGCAGAACGAGTCGTTTACAGGAAAGCTTTCTTACCTATGTGTCAGAATTCATCCGTCCTATGAAATAACAGTTTGACAGCTATATTATTTTTCCCAGTTCTGTTTTTGAAGAAAAAAATACTATCCTGTCAAACTGCATCCCTGAGATGAAGAGGTTTGAAAAACAAATAGCTCTACATGTTTCTAACAGCAACTCTCTAACACTTGTTCTATTGCAAATGATCTTCAGTGCCTTCATTCCCGAAGCATTTTGAAGCTGACATGTTGTCCTACTTTTATCATGACAGCTCCCACTGAGATAGATAGCTCAAAAATGCACATGAGCTTGTATAGACTCTCTCCCACTATAACAGCAGGGCCAGATGTTCAACACTTTCGCTGGCACTTTGTACTTCACGTGACATTGTATGATGGGGTTATGCCAGCACGTAATGCTAAATAACAGGGTGTAAACCTGCAGGTGAGGGGAAGATTGCAGTGCTAGATAGCTCCTCTGTGGGTTTCAGAAGTCAGATACCAGGCATGCCACTGCACAGGGAAATCTTGAGTTCCCAGGCAGCCTTACGCAAGCTGGAGTTTGAGGCTGACAGAGGGCTGGAGTCTCCCTACCTCCCCCCCTGCCCTCACGGTCACACTAAGTAAGTGCACTTCATACAGCCGGGATGCCACTGTGATATATAAAAGCTCAAATACAACCGTGCCATTCCAAATAGAATAAAATAAAATGTCTCAGTATGAGATACGAAGAAGAACAAGTATTATATAATGGAGACATTTACCTCTTTCTTACTCTTGTCCCGAGTCCTAGATTCATTTCCCCAAACAAACAGCATTAGGATAAACGTCTAATACTATAATATCAATGAAACCAGGAAACAAGAAAGTGTGTTTGATAAAAGTATTCTACCAGTTATATTTACTAAGATTATTACTGTATTTTTTAGGGATGGATGCTATAAACAATTACCGTGTTATATTTTGGAATGGCGGCTCAGGAGGGCTTCCTCCAAACGAAACCACTTTTGCCAAAATACTGCAGCAGCAAGGCTACAGCACAGGACTAATAGGTAGGGGGACACTCCTGAAGATGGCCTAGAATGTGTTTCACCTGCATGCCTGACTCAAACCATTTGTTGTAGTTAGCAACTGCTCATACCTCAGCTGTAATATTTTTATTTCCTGATTTAAGAATATCTTGTAGAAATCCTGACCAAAAAGAATCTCTCTTAAAAGAACAGGCATCTGATAAAGAGAATAATCTTTACCATTGACCTGCTTTCAAGCACAGGTGTGGTTGTTAAAATATATAACGGAAAATAAGTTAATATTTCTTGAATACTATTCTGCCAGGTATAATGATAATTATTGCAAAGCTATTTCATAAAAAACAAAAACATGAATACCATTTAAATATGCATGGAAATGCTTTACACAGCTCGGAGACTGACAACAAAAGGGAACAGCTGCTACTTAAAACAATAAAGCTTGATCATAATATCACAGGATTTGGCCTTTCAAACGCAGAAACACAGCAATTATTTTTTCTTTAATTACAACATGCCACTATAGTTCACCAAGATTTCAGTACAGCCCATAAAACGTTACCTCCTTCAGCATTAATAGAAATTCCATTTTACTTTATATTCTATAGGATTATTTTTTTTAATGCAGTTGTAACTTTTGGTCATGATCCAGTTTCAAATAATTATTTATCTTAGATATGTGACACAGTGATAAAACACAAGCGTTCCTGAGGTGAATTTTCAGCTGTTTGCCCTACCTCATCTGAACATGTAAATGTCAATATTCAAAAATCTATGTCTGACACATAAAAATATTGGCTGCACAAATAAACTGAATTTGCTAATAAAAGTGTCTGCAGGAATGGATTTATATTCATTCAGCAGAATAAATCTAAACCATACAGGACAATGCTAAACGAAGCCCTCTGAGCATTTTGAGTTCTATATTACTGAATGTTCTTCTCCTGATTAGTTTTGTAGCGGTATTATTTTAGTTGTTTTTAAAAAGCCCGTGTCTATTAGCCACGTGCTTCAGCTTGGTTTCAGCATGTAATCACTGACAACACAGTTAATCAGATTTGTCTCTACTTTGCCAAAGGAATTGCCCGGCAGGGAGGTTGTGCTGCATACCTCCTAGAAGCTAGCTGGCAAAATGGGCTGGCGTTTTCCCTGTGGGCATCTCAGCTAAAATCACACTATAGACACCAAGAGCATCGCTTAGTTTAACCGGATTGACCGATTCTGATTAATTGAACCGCAGGGGATGATGGAAAGCACTGGTGATAAGCGACACAAAAAAACCCATAAGAACTTTACATTCAAGACATGAAGCAAGAAATGTTACACATCTACCCGCATCACCACAGCTGAATGAGCACTACATAGTCTCACTCGAATGGTTTGTGATTGTTTTGCTCTGAGCACAACCAGATTAATTGCAGAGTTAAATCCTATTAATAACCTGCAGCTTGAGTGATGATGAAAGTTTTTGTTTGGAAACGCTTTGCAGATTTTTTTGTAGCCAGAAAGTCAATGTTTTATAACATATGACCTCAAAAATTAATTTATCTTAATTATACACTTAATTTATATCCTGGAGATTTGAGTCTTTTGTAGCATATCAGAAGAATTTATCGATCTCAGCTGGAGATTTGGGTGTTAGAGTGTGTCTGAAGTCCAAGGATACTTTAGCTGTACCTGTGTTTATGATCAATGCCTCTATGTATTGCTGGCTCTAAATATGTCAAGACGTAAACTGAGTAGAGATTTTAGCTGAAAGCAATTCACCCTTTCTTTATATTTATATCCAAAAAGTAGCAATTTTTTTCCACTGAAGTAGTTTTTTCTGCTCCTATTGTAATGCACAGCAATTCTATTGAAACCTACTCAGGGTTGGCTGCTATTATATGTATTGCTAATATAGTGAACCATTTGCTTAGGATAATATCCTTATCCAAGTGCACAGGTCTTTACCCCCATAATAATAATTAGTTGCGAATTATTTTTCAAGTAAAATTCTCAAAGTTCATTTTAATCTATAGATCTCGTATCGAAGGCTTGCATTACGTGGGAGATGTCATTAAACTGCATCTCTGATGAGAGGTAGGTTCTGGTCACTTGATTCAGATAATCACAAGCCTCAGTGTTTGAGCAACATGAGCCAGTTTGTTAGGTCTCTGTGTAAGTGCCTAACCAGACTGAATAGACTGGAGGGGAAGCAAAAGCATGGGTTTGACATGCCATTCATCATAATAGTGGACATATGTCCAGAATAAAGAACAAATTTTATTGCAAAAGGTCAAGAGATGTTCCTTTTGATACATGAAGACTTCATTATTTAAAAGAAAGAGGCTTTGACTCTTTAAAAAATTGATGAAATACAAACAAATGGAAAAAATGCTTATAAAACAAGGCCTTTTATTCTCATCCAGTATATGGAGATATTATTATCAGCAAAGTTGCTTACATATGTATAGCTTCATGAGAAATCTTGTTCTCTTGAGCTCAAGTTCTTCTGGATCTGGTGGTTTGTCTGGCAAACCCACTGCTGAGCTGCAGGTTACTTTGTGCTACCCACAGCTTCCCTTTTCAGTCTGGCACCGACACATCATTGAGGGTTGTCGTAGTCCTGACATCAAGGCCTTCAAATCTTTCCAGAAACAAGTCTCCATAGCATCTTGAAAATAAAGAAACAACAGAAAAATGTTATTTTGCCCTGTGTTTACAAAAACATTTCATCCTCCTATTTCATACCTGCCAGATCTGCAGGAAGGCCATACATTTTTGCTCGATTCTGAAAAGTCTGAATTTTTCTCAATTTCCAGTTCCCTTGACAGGCCAGTTTTTTACATTTGATCAAAGCTACAGGGAATGAATATGTGTACAGAGCACCAATAACTCTGCTGGAAATTTATAATTTGTAGAAGTTTACTTTCATCAATCGTAAGATATATCCTGTTATATCAGTACATACTTGGTATACATGTATAGGATGAAGAAGTTATCACAAGTAGGAAAAAAACCAACCATGTTTTGAGAAATGTTTTGTACGAGGAAAAGCCCATTTTTAAATGTTATCTCTTTACATTTTAATAATCTGTAATTTTCAGGGAAGTGGCATCAAGGTGTTAACTGTGAATCCCGCAATGACCATTGTCATCACCCTTTAAACCACGGGTTTGACTATTTTTATGGGATGCCTTTTACGCTAATAAGTGACTGCCAGCCAACAGAAACACCAGAGATGGACAGAGTCTTTAGAGGGAAACTCTGGCTTTACACTCAGATGATTGGCCTCGTTGCACTCACCGCTGCCCTGGGAAGAGTGACCGGCTTGATTTCAGTCCGCTGGAAAACTCTGACCTGCCTTGTTGGGTTTAGTCTCCTGTTTTTTGTATCCTGGTTCTCAAGTTACGGGTTTGTACAACGCTGGAACTGCATTATGATGAGAAACCATGAAATTACTGAGCAGCCAATGGTGACAGACAGGACTACGTCCCTTATCCTGAGAGAGTCCATTTCGTTTATTGAAAGGTGAAGTGTGTTTCCTTTGATCACATTTCTTCTGCTTCTTGCATGTCTTGCAACTTTTAAACAGCATTTTCCCATGTGAAGTCTGTAAATTTTATAGTATTCTATAGGATTATAAGTACTATTATGCCTATTAATTATTAATACTATTGATAATGATATCATATTATTAAACCAAAAATTAGCTGCTTCTTAAGGATGTCTGCTCTTCCTAGTTTCACTAAAGCTCATAAACTTTCCAAATTTCCATGGGTCGGATTGAATATTTCTAGGCTATTTTGAGGAAATACGTATTTCTATCAACGCGATCTACATTGCAGCTTTAAGGGACAGCAGCTGATGGTAGAAACCTGTGTGTGGGCTGGGGAAGGAGGAGGAGAGCCTTACCTACGGACTGACACGTGGGCAACAGCTGGCAGGAGATGAACCTGCTGCCTTCATTTCAGTAGCACTGTGGAGGTTTGCAATGGCAGAAAGCGGAGCTTCAGTCTGGAACTTTTCTATCCATGATTCACGAAATAAAGAGAATCTTTATGATCTCAGGAAATTTTATATAAGCCAAACGTTATTTTGCCAGACAGATCCCAATTACTGGGTTTTAATACCTTACAAAGTAAGGTGAAGTGATTTCTGAAGCGATTGTTGAAATATGTATATACACAAATCATAACATTTTCCATTACGACTGACCTCTGTATGTATGGAGAACCTTCCTCCCTAATAACGAAGTCTTGATTTCTGTTTTTCAGAAATAAGCACAAGCCATTCCTCCTCTTTCTTTCCTTTTTACACTCCCACACCCCTCTCCTCACCACAGAGAAATTTCTTGGGAGGAGCCGTCATGGTTTATATGGAGACAATGTAGAGGAGATGGACTGGATGGTGGGTGAGTCACCATAGCAAATAACAATGTCTCCAACTACCTAGGACCTAGGTCTGGATATATAATAAAAAATGCAGTTGTTAGTAAAAGAACAAGGAAGAGGATGCAAAACAAGAAGGAAAAAAAGTCCTAAGCTTTTCATGAACATCTGTCAATCTTGTATGAGCACAGCTGGCTTATAGTGTTGCCTTTTTATTTTCTCCAGTCTTGGACCAAATGAGTCTTTCTGTTCACTCAGGTTTTTTGTTTTTAACCATGTTTTAACCATGACCCTGTGGCTCCTGTCAAGGAGTGATCCTGCTCTACTTACTGAATAAGTGAGAAATATTTAGTTTACTGTGATTATTAAAGGTCAGGTAATTTCAAACTCTTATGGTCATGTCTTAACTATTTCTAAGTAGCACACATCAGAAGGTGATAAAACTGATAAGCAAATTAATTCCAGGTGTAAACCAGAAGGCTATTTCTCTGTGACTACTGCATTCAGCAGAGTGCTGAATGTTTTTCAGGCCCATTCACAAATCCAGAAGTATTCATAAATGTTAGTTGGTATGCCCCCAGAAATTAGACTCACGTTATTTTTCAGCCTGTTTTTTGGAGGAGAAGGAGAATTACCTATCACCCAGTCATGGCAGAGGAAAATAGCCACATTTGCAAAAGTGATAAGAATCCGGTACACGTACAGAAAGAACTGGTGTTCAAACCTACCTGTTAACACACACCGCAAATATAGTTAAAAACATCAGGATAATTCAAGAATGACTTTTAAATAAAAAAGAATTATATTATTTATGCGTATTATATCCAGCCAGTTATTTAATGCAAATACTAACTGTGGTCTAGATAATATAAGGGTACATGACACTTTTTCCTCATTTCTCACAATGGCCATCCCTGATGCAGAATCTAACTTTTTTGGGGCCTTGGATCATGCTTTCTTTCCATATTGTTATTGCACATGGCACTTCTGCACTTTAGAATAGAGGCTTCTTTTCTGTGATTGTGGTTCTTGCACTCCTTTGTTATAATACTAATAATAATGCAGTTAACAGCACATCACAAATTTTCTGTGCATTTACAATGAAATCACAACTACAAATCTCGATCCTAAAAAATCTCTTCCTTTAAACAATAAGCAGCACTACATAGAGAAGAAATGACATGGATGAATGTTTACAAGTCAGAGGCTAAAAATTATGTAGAGTAAGATATTTTTGCTTTTTAACACACACATATTCCTGTGTTTACAGGCCAGGTTCTAAATGCTATTGACAAGGAAGGCTTGAGAAATACTACACTAGTTTACTTTGCCTCTGATCATGGTGGATGGCTGGAAAGACAAGAAGGCAACAGGCAGCTGGGTGGCTGGAACGGAATATACAGAGGTAAGAGCTGTCGGGGACGGCGACAGTCCAGCAACTAGTAAAGTAGTCAGGACACCACTAAAGCTTAGATAAGACTGTACGCTTAAGGAGTAGCAGTGTTTTATCAATGAGAAGCAAATTTGTTTCATTCTAATCAGGCATTCAAAAATTTAGACAATTCTAGCATGTTCAGGTGTTCTTTATAAGCATGAATTCTCAAACTGGCATTTCCTCGTGAGGCAACTGGTCACAAGTTAATTTTGATTAAGCATGTGTAACTTCTCATTAAATATTAGTTGCATCTTACATCTGAACCCTTGCCTTAACTACAACAGGCATGTTACAAGATTATAAAAGAGAGAGGAGAACTAGGCTGGGAAATCACTTTTTATGCCTGAAAATTTTATCAGCACTGAGTTCTCATGGGGCAATACGTTTGTAAAACTATGGAGGGGAGTAAGAGTGTAAGGTCACTCAAGGTGTCTGATATAGTGAACACACTTTCACTGATGCTCAGGAGAAGGAGCTTAGCGGTAAAAACAAAATGGTAAGGAAGGCTCATAAAGGTAACATTAGCTTATAATACAATAACATTTGTTTAAAATTTCTCCTTATTTTAAATGAAACTTTTTTAAATGATTTTTTTTTTTTTTTTTTATGAAAGGTGGAAAAGCTATGGGAGGCTGGGAAGGAGGGATCCGTGTCCCGGGGATATTTAGGTGGCCAGGTGTGTTACCTGCAGGCACAGTTATCGATGAACCTACAAGCCTTATGGACATTTATCCTACAGTAGTTCATCTGGCTGGAGGGGTACTACCCCAGGACAGGTACAAACATAAGAGTCTTTATTCCTCTTTCTCTCCCAAAACAATAGTAAATCTACTTTGGAAACACATCCTAAGAATCTGACATTTTCTTTTTCACTCCTGCTCCTTTTCTGGACACATAAATGTTACCATAGCTCAGTCACCCTTTCTCTACGTTCGAGATTCACCATCTACTTGCAATCTTCTACAAGCATCTTCCTCATTCAGAGCTGCCAGTTCCAGCAAGAGGTATGCAGAAGGAATGCAGTCCCGTACAGCTCACCCCAGTCTGATGGTTTCTGGTTTTTTCTGCTAGGGTAATTGATGGCCGGGATCTGATACCTTTACTGCAAGGAAAAGCTGAGCACTCAGAGCACGAGTTCCTGTTCCATTACTGTGGCATTCACTTACATGCTGTGCGGTGGCACCAGAAGGACAGTGAGTACAGAACCTCCTTCTCAAGACTTAGGTTCAATCTACGGGAAGGCACATTTAACACATTTTCTCTGGAATTGTAGCATTCCAAGTAGTTCCAGGTGTAACGTGGTAAAGAACTTGCTAGTATTGCCTGTATTGTATGGCACAAAGAGTTGGTTCGTGGTTTCAAGGCACGTGGCATGCCAGGCAGGCTGCTAGAGCTCAGGATGGGTCTCGCCCACCTCTCTATATGAATGCAAGGCCTGAGGAGTCCATGCCCACCTCACCTCATGGAGAAGCCCTTGCCTCAGCCCTTTGTCTGTCCTTCTACCTTAATAAGGAAGCAAGCCACAGAATCCCCAAATCTTTTTTTCATGTCTTCATGAAAAACAAAGTCCACAATAACTGGTACCTGCTGAAAATTTTGGAGAAATTTCAAAATGTCAGAAATCATTTTACATTATTGGTTTAATTCTGTGGCACTTAAATGAAATTACAATATCGTATCAACTAATAAATGTAGAGCTGAAGTGCAACCAGAAATGAACTCGAGAAAAACATTGGCATTTCTAATGCCTTGTGATAACCACCAGCATCATTGCAAGTCTTCTTTCTTTCCTACCAGGTGGAGCCATCTGGAAGGCTCATTATGTGACCCCCATCTTCCATCCTCTCGGAGCTGGGGCTTGTTATGATAGAGGATTTTGCCCATGTTTTGGGGAAGGTGTGACCCATCATGACCCTCCATTGCTGTTTGATCTCTCGCGAGACCCTTCTGAAGCCAAACCTTTGTCGGCTGACACCGAGCCCCTCTTTGACGCTGTGATAAGGAAGATTGGAAGAGCCATAGAAGAGCATCGCAGGACACTGACTCCAGTCCCAGAGCAGCTCTCCGTGTACAACGTGGTGTGGAAGCCATGGCTGCAGCCATGCTGTGGGACGTTCCCATTCTGTTGGTGCGATAAGGAAGGTGATAATTAACTTGCTGAGCTATAAAGGAAAGAACCAAAGTTGGTTCTTCAAAAGTGGTTTTAGAGCAAGAGTGTTTTCTTTGAGGGTGTTGATTGGCAGGTTGGTGGTTTGTTTTAATGAAGCCTTTATTTGAGAACTGTTCCAGTGAATGGCACAGTATTCGGTAAAGGTGGCTTTAGGCTGGACATTCTCAGGGAGGGATCAAGACCGAATGATCTGAAGAGCATGTTTTAACTTGCATCTACTGACAACTGAATGAATAGTTCAAGTGCACTGAAGCAGGCCAAGAGTAGAGCTGTACAAGTAGTGATATAACTTATGTTTTGGTGTTTATGAATATATATTTACAACCTTTGTTTTGGTTTTTTGTTCTTCATTTCTAAGCAGTTCCTGAACTGAAGTCTTCCTTAATTTTGTTGTCCTTACTGGTGATACATAAGATGCCCTTATAATAAATTTTTGCAGAATAGTGCTTCCAAAATAATTAAGAAATAATTTTGCCCACAGTTCCTCACAGAATCTCCTTTAGAAGTAAATTCCTTCTTCCTTTGTATCTCGTCCCTCCAGTAGCAGAGACGATGGCAGCTGGTTAGCTTCGGGCTTCTGGATCAGCAGAAATTGTCTGGGTGAGGCATAAAGCTTGGAAACGTGACAAGCTGGGTAATGCTGTCTGCACCTTCCAAGAAGGATGGGACTCCTCTGATTGGAGTCAGCCTCTTTTGATGGAGAACACAAAAGGGAAAGGATTTTCCCTTTCCAAAGCTCCCACTGTACCCAGCTCCCTAAGCAGCACTGGCAAGGGCACAGTGGCATTGATGGCCACAGAAGTGCCACGTCGACAACCAGGTCAGTCATTTGGGCACAGGACTGCAGGACTTACCTTGCTGTCCATATCTCAGCCATACTTGGTTCCTGCTAACAAGTGGTACGTTTGGAAAAGGTTGTCTGAAAGATGCCCAAGGCTAATTATAAAAACAAATAAACTCTAATTTAGTATGAAAAAGAAAAAAATAAGAATTAAGGTGTTTTTTGCTTCACAAGTTAAATTTTGATCCCACCAAACAGCTAGATTTACTTAGATCTATCTCCTTTGTTGCTGTAAATTCAGTTCGTTCTTTGTGTTAAAATAGTTGTTCCTGTTAAAGTAGCCTTGCACGTAATTCTTTTCATTGTAGGGTACAATATAGACATAGACAAGTTTACAGTGAATATGTAAGCATCTGAGAACATAATTTTCCCATTCAATTTATTTGACATGTTTTTTTACTATTTTTCTAACTGTCATGCTAGGACCCGTTTTTCTTGTACATTGCCTTTGATAAATATTTGGTTTATGTTGGTGGTATTCCCCTCCTTGTTTCCCACAATCCAGCCACCAGAAAATCTGCAGGTAAACAAAGTCCTACAACTTTAAAAGCAGTTTTATTCTGTGCTGTGACCTCATGCATTTCACAGGCTGTTATAATTCACCCAGATGCTCCATCAGTGCTATTGATGAGAAAGGCACTCAGTCTTACCATGAAAACTTCAAGACATGAAGTGAATCCATCACTTCACATGTACAGATTGTTGCTCTATTTCCTCCATTGTTAAGAGTGTGTGCTTTATTTCTCATTTGAATGTCTTCTATTTCACTGGTTCTTTCTTTGCTAGATTTAAAAGTCTTTTCATATTCAATGTGCGATGTTTTCTTTACCTGAAATTACTGTAATCAGACTGGCATTTTTCAATTTTCTCAGTCAGTTTCCAAGATCTCACTTCCATTCTCAAGCCAGTTTACTATCTGGGATTTTACATCCTCTCAATTTTTCAACACCTTTAAAAATGTGTGGGTATAATACCTGTTCATATGATTGAATCAGTTTTTCTTGCACAGAAATACTTCATAGCATTGCAGGATATCCATTTGGAGACAGAGAGTACAGGAAGACATCTGAGCTAGAACTCATCCTGGACACTGGTGTTTCTCCATGTAAGCACAGTTATCGGGTCCTGCTGATATGCAGAGCGCCATGGGATCAGCAAACGTTTAGGGCTTGGTAACACGGATATTACACGTGGAACGGTCAGGGGCAATAATAAAGGCTGCCTTGACAAAACCATACTGTCTTTCTTTTGGGTAGTCAGCAGATGATGGAATCCTGCTTTCTTGTGCAGCTGAAGCAGAAAAACAATCTTTTAAAGTTTGTTTAATTTCCTTTTTTTTTTTTTTGGGGGGGGGAATTCTAACCTTACATTCATCTATGTTAAGCAGACGGACACCTCCTCCAGCCGCCCCAGCCCAGGACCCTCCTGCCCAGCAGCTGGAGCCCAGCCCGGGGACTCGGGCTCTCTGCCCAGGCTAGGGGACACGGCTGCCGCTTTCCCCCTTGCAGGTTCAACCCACAGTGAAGCTGAGCGTGTATCCCAGAGACACACGGACACACACACATGCCCAGGACATGGACATGGCCAGTCGCTGTCTCCAAGTATTGTGTTGGCATGTATTGTGTAGTCTGAGGAACGTGGCATTGGCTGACAAGCAGTTTTGATAGAATCCAAATGGGATTTTTTAGATAAAAACAAAGTAGTACATCAAAATAGTCTCCTTGATAGTAAGTATAATGAACATCCATTTTCACACAAATATCTCCCACTATTAGGAGTACTTCAGGCTGTTTTCCACTTGAACAAGAAGTGTATGATTAAGGCAGGTATTTCTTTAGGGTAGTCTTATTCACTTACAAAGAATGTACCATCTCCTGTACATACTATAAATAGCACAGGAACCGGTTTCTCTTTTTGCTGTTCTTAACCTCTTGTCATCAATTTGTTTGAAAGTCCTTTTTTTCAGAGTAATTTTTCACCTTCAGGCTATTCCCCCTTTTCCATTTGTTGTATAGCCATCGTGGCAGTGAGAGTTGCAGTGTCTCATAGCTGGGCTACCAGCTCTTCCCCATGTCGAGAGAGCATCCAGATTTATTTTACAAACTGAAAGGTACAACAGTTAATATTTACTAACATATTGCAACCTATGCTTTGAGCTTATTTGGGGTTTTGGGGTATTTTTTGCCATTGCTTGTCATTTTCAGCTTTTTGGAAGGTTATTTAAATCAGTGAAAACTGCCAATTTCAGGATATTTGAAACTGGGATTTTTACACATTGTTAATTTATTTATTGTTGCCACACCTGGCAGGAAGCTGCAAAAAACCCCAAGGCTATTCCTCTTTGCTTTGCAGGATCCTGAGATATAAACCTGTCCTGGTTTCAGCTGAGAGGATTGATTTTCTTCATAGTAGCTAGTGCGGGGATATGTTTTGGATTTGTGCTGGAGACAGCATTGATAATATAGAGATGGTTTTGTTCTATGGACTTATTGTTGAGCAGTGTTTACACGGGGCCAAGGCCTTTTCTGCTTCTTGCACTGCCCTGCCAGCGGGATGGCTGGGGGTGCACAAGAAGTTGGGAGGAGACACAGACAGGACAGGTGACCCAAACTGACCAAAGGGATATTCCACACTATATGACGTCACGCTCAGGTTATAAGGAGCTTGGGGGAAGGGGGGGCGGGGCGGTGGCATTCGGAGCGATGGCGTTTGTCTTCCCAAGTAACTGTTACACGTGATAGAGCCCTGCTTTCCTGGGGATGGCTGAACACCTGCCTGCCCATGGGAAGTGGTGAATGAATTCCTTGCTTTGCTTTGCTTGTGCGCGCGGCTTTTGCTTTACCTATTAAACTGTCTTTATCTCAACCCACGAGTTTTCTCACTTTAACTCTTCTAATTCTCTCCCCCATCCCAATGAGGGGGAGTGAACGAACGGCTGCATGGTGCTCAGCTGCCGGCTGGGGTAAAACCATGACATTCGTTTTTGGTGCCCAACGTGGGGCCCGAAGGGTTCGAGATAATGGCAGATTTGATT